CCCGGCCGTGTTAGCCGAGGGTGCGCGAGACCGCCGGCCGCTCCGGGCTTTTCCAGCCGCCCCCCCGAGGCCCGGGAATGCATGTCCCTCCGCTCCGGCCCGGGAGGCGGGCCAGCGCAACATCCAAACATGCGCCGGAGATCTCCGTCACACTTGTCCCTGCTGCCGCGCAGGCCGCGGCGCGAGGCCGTCCCGTGCGGCGGGCCCGGCCGCGGGATGAGGTGCTCGCCTGCCGGGGCGGGTCGGCTCTGCAACCAAAAGGGGCCCGGATCGGTTGCAAGTGTCCAACGAATGTCCGCGGTGGCGTGATCCCGGATCTTAGGAGCGCAGTCGGCCCCACTGCTGCCGATGGACCGCGCGTGATGCGCGCCCTCGGTCATCGTGACGCATGGAGGGAGCTTGGTGCTTGGGCTGTCATGTGATGTGACACGCCTCAGGACTCCGGCTCCCAAGGCGGGAGTCGTGTCCGGCGCGTGGGCCCAGCGGGCGCGAGACATTCCGACCGGGCGAGAGAGGGGCTGTCTTCGCGGGAAAGGCAACGGTTGGCCGGCCCGGCAGGCCAGGGCGGCATCGCGGAGATGGCGAATGGCTGGCAGTGACCGGCATAGCCCGCTGACTGCTGGCCGAATCCGTGTGCCAGGGCCGGTGCTGAAAGATGAGCTGGGGATGGGGAGAGGGGGGGGGAGATAGCACAACACACCTGGACCCGAACAGTGGCCGGTTGTCTCAACTGGGCTCCGGCGCTGAGCCTTCTCCCGGGTGAGGGGCGCGGACTTCCCCTTGCGATTGGCCGCAACAATGCGGGATGTCTGGCGAGGGGACACGAACGTCCCCGGGGGTGGGGCACCGGCGGTGGTTCAACCCCGGCTGGCGAGCACTGCGGGTGGGGGGGCTGTCTCGAGCGGTGGAAAGGCGCTGGAAGATAGGAGTGTGGCCAATAGCATGTACACCCGGGGGCCGTCTTCAGAGCGAGTGGCGAAGTGCACTCACTTGGTTGTGGGCTCTGGGGGGCGCGTTGTTGCGGCTCCTCCACAGCCCGTGATCTTCCTCGGGGTTCTGACATACCATCATGCTCCATTCTCCTATACTTCACGCGTGCTGATCTGCCCGGACCAGAATCCCATCTGAGTTAACCTCCCCTTTGTGGCTGCGCGACGGACCGCGCCCACAATGTGCCCCGGGAGCTCGCCAAACCCGATCACCGGCCCTGTATTGTTGCCATGCTGTTTGTATGTGTGTCTGCATGTCGCCCCTCTGGCTTGGACACCCGGGGGGGGGGGGGGGGGGGGGGGGTGGGGGTCCGGAAAGTTCCCCAGCTCCCCACTCGGGCGCTGGTCTGCCGAGGAGAGAAAGGATTGGACGGGCGCGCTCGCGCGAAAGGAGGGACATGGCACTTTCGACCAGCCGGCGGCACAGGATGCAAGAGGGGAGGGCACGCCGCATGGGGGCTGCCAAGAACGCCGGTTGGCAGGCTGGCTATTGCCAGGGGGAGCGTGGGGGAGAGGCGGGGCACCCTCACGGCCGGCTATCGGCAATCGGCCCGAGGGGAGGATGGTGGGCTGGCATCCGCGGCGTGGGGATCCGGATCATCGGGCCCCGCGGCGCCGCCTGTGGCCAGCATGCGCTCGACGAGGGGTTCATCCAACTCGAGCATGGCCTCAATGTGAACTTTGGAAATGGGCGCGTCCTTGCGGAGCTCGGCAGCCTGCACAGAGCGGCGCTCCTCGCGTTAGGTTATCGGCAGGATGGGGGACAAAGCAGGGGGACGGGGGGCCTTGTGGCAAGGCACATAGGGGGGGGGGGCGGCGCACCAGGAGCAGCGTCGACCGCTTGTAGAGCAAGCGCCGGAGGGTGTCCAGGAGCGAGTGTCCGGAGGCCACGCCATGCCGAGCCAGGAGCCGGGTGATGGCCACCTTGATTGCCTTGGGGCATCGAGCAGGGGAGGGGGGGGGGAAGGGGATCAGAAAATGCACCACACAATGGGCGCACGTGGGGCGGCGGGGCTTGGAGCATGGGCGTGTAGAGGGCGCACGGTCTTGTTGCGGGCAAGGGCCTTGCCCGGGGCCGGGCGTCGGGGCCGGGGGGCAGCCGAGGGCGGCGGCACGGGGGGCGGCACGGGCGGCGGCATCGCCTCCCGCCCCGGGGGAGGACCCACGCCGAAGGAGGAGGGCGGCGAGTCGGACCGGGGCAGGGATATGCCCAGGGCCAGCCTGGGGTCCGAGGAGGGCGAGGCAGGAAGGTCCCCCGGCGGGCAGGGCGACCGAGAGGCCGGCACATCATCAGGACTGGCCACCGAGGGGGGACTGGTGATCGGGGTATGGAGGCACGCGAGCATCTCGGCCAGGAGGGGGTCCGTCGGCAGGCCGGCCGCCTGGCGAGGCGGCTCATGCAATGAGGCGAATTCGTCGGCCAGGTGCGCCTGGCAGATGCGCCGGAAGTCCGCATCGCGCTCTTGGCAGTCGGTGGAGGGCTCCAGCCCGAGGGTTTGATGGGGGCTGTACGGCGGGAGGAGTGGATCCACCAGCAGGCTGGGCAGGGGCAGGGCCGAGGCCAGGGCCGGGGCCGTGGCGGGGCCGCCGACGGCGTGCGGTGGGGCTGGGGCCGAGAGCTTGGCCGCGAGGACCAGCCGCGCGCGCCAGTCCTCCCAAGAGGAGCCCAAACCTGGCGAAAGGGGGAGAGGCAGCAAGAAAGCGGGGAGGGGGAGTGAGTCAGCACGCCGCGAGAGAGAGAGAGAGGGGGGGGGGAGAGAGAAAGAGAGATGAACCGGGCACAGGGCAGAGGGAGGGCATGGCGAGGAGGGGCCGAGGAGGGATGCATACCCTGCTGCGGGGTGAGCCCCGGGTGCACGAGGACGTCCTGTGAAACAAGCTGGCTGACGTATGGGGCGGGCCGGGTGGTGGAGGGGGTGACGGCCGGGGTCGGCAGGTGGAAGGGCGGCCGGGGGCGCTCCGAGGCCGCGGAAGCCGGGCCCGAGACCAGGACGGGCGTCGGGTGGCCGCGAGCATCGGCCAGCTGCTCGTCCAAGTGTCGATGGGCGGACTGGGACCCGGACAGGTTAGGGGGGCGGGGGGGGGGGGGGGGGGGGGGGGGGGGGGGGGGGGGGGGGGGGGGGGGGGGGGGGGGGGGGGACGCGTCGGCGATCGGGGGAGGGGGCGGAGGGGTCATGCGCACGGGGTCGGTGCGGCGGGCGAGCTCGCGGCGGAGACGCCACTCGCGGTGATGCACACGGCCGAGCAGGGCCCCGGCCGTCAGGCAGGGGATGATGAGCCCGGCCGACTCGAAGCGCACGTCGGCCGGGGTGCCATTGGACAGGTGACGCGGCGGCGGCGGCGGCGGCGGCGGCGGGCAGTATGGGTGTGAAGGGGGCAGCTCGTGGGCTTCGGCGGCCTGGAGGTCGGCCGTGGCGCGGAAGGCCGCGAGCATGGGGCCAGTGACCAGCGGCCCGCCGGGGGCCTTGAAGGCCGAGTAATCCAAAACCAGGGGGGGGGAACAGGCAGCCGGGGGGGGCGGCCGGCCGGCCTGGCGGGGGACCTTTTGCAAGCTGGCGGCCAGGGACCAATCGGCGAAGCCGGCGGCCCCGCTGACGAAGGCCCGCCGGGGGTCCCACATGCCGAGCCCGGAGGCGGGGATCTCCACCGCGGGCACCGGGTCGGCAGAGGGCGCATTGCCCGGGGCCGCGAGCAGGTGCAGGGAAAAGTGCAGCTGCCCCGGGGCGCTGGCCGGGGGCCGCCGGGGGTCCGGCGCGACCACCAGGAGGAAGTGCGCCACGGCGTGGATCGGGGCCCCGGCGAGGGGGGCCGACGGGTGCCGGCTGGCCTGGGCCCCGGCCAGGTGCGGCCGGAGGATGTAGCCCGGCCAGTCGGCGCTCCGGGAAAAGGCCCGGGCCGGCGTGAGGACCATCGACGCCAGGAGGCCGGTGCTCTGGCCGAGGCGCGGATCGGCGACCAGCGATGCCAGCAGGCGCCCCCCGGCCAGGCGGTCATCTGCCTGGATAACACTATAGAGGGGGAGGGGGGCGGGGGGGGGTGAGACACATTTCGAGGGGACTGAAGCGAGGGGGGAAAGAAAAACAAAGGCCAGGGGCCGAGAGGGCATGTACAGGTCGAAGGAAAGGCCGGTCAGGGCCTGGAGAGGGACGTCGGCCAGGGGGATGGCGGCGTTGGCGAGGGACGGCTCACTGCCCGAGGCGTCGAGATCGATGCGCAAGTCGTGGCGGAAGAGGCCGGCGCGCTGGGGCGCGGGGGCCCCCGTGGCCGGGCACATGGGCAGCGGGCTGTGCATCCACGCGCGGCCAAGATGATACGCCTCGGGCGACCGGGCCGTGCATCGGGCAACTACGATGGATGGGACAGGCAGGGGCGAGGGGGCGGGCGGGGAGGCCGTCGATTGGTGAGGAAGAAATAGGGCGGGGGGCATGCCGGCGACAGGATGCGAGCGCACAAAGGGCCGGGTGGGGGGAGTCCCCAAAGAGCAGGGGGCCCTGCCAGAGGGCCAGCCGCGGGATCCAGAGGCCGGGGCGGGTCGCCGCGGCTGCCAGGGGCGGGGCCACACGGCAGCGGAAGATCTCCTGCCAGAGG